CCTTTTTCTTTCTTTCTTTCTTTCTGGCATTCACCCTTTTGCAGAGAAGTGGAAGAAGCATCCAGGCAGGGAGAACCTGCCTCCTGCTCCTTCTCTTAGGAGCCAACTCGTTGCAGAATACCTTGATTGATTTATTTATCTATTTATTTGTTTGTTTGTTTGTCAGCTGCTTACAAGATAATAGGTATAAGTAAAAACATAGTTATAAATGCGTGGATAAGTGTAAGAAAAATAAAAGAAACAATAGGACAGGGACGGTAGGCACGTTGGTGCGCTTATGCACGCCACCAGACTTGAAATTCTAGGCCTAGACAATCTAGAACTACGCCGCCTTCGGTTTGATCTAAGTATAGTATATAAAAACACACATTGCAATGTCCTACCGGTCAATGAATACTTCAGCTTCAACCGTAACAACACAAGAGCGTACAATAGATACAAACTCAAGGTAAACCGCACCAAACTTGATTGCAGGAAATACGACCTCAGCCACTGAGTGGTCAATGTCTGGAATCCTCTACCTGACTCTGTGGTTTCTTCCCCAAACCCCCAAAACTTTCACCTTAGACTGTCTACTATTGACCTCACCCCTTTCCTAAGAGGTCTGTAGGGGGCCTGCATAAGCGCACCAACATGCCTACCGTCCCTGTCCTATTTTTAGTTGTATTTTTCTTATATGTACCCATTTCATGTATTCATAACTATGTATATACTTATACCTATTATCTTGTATGCAATTGAGAAACCAAATAAATTAAAAATTAAAACAAGAGTGGTGAAAAACGAGTCCCTTTTTCTGGTTCCGCTGTAACTTTTGTCAGTAAGCGAACTCTCGTAAGTCGAGGACTAGTTAAGGAATAGTCGAAATTCAGAGGCTCACATTTAGGGTGGTTGCAGTGTCCTGGGGTCTATACTTGACATAAATGAAGATATTCTAGGGGTTTTCCCCCCCCTTCATCCCCCTCCATCCTCACAATCTGCAGTGTTGAGAGAACAAATGCAACACTTCACCATTTCCCTGCAACTGGTGTGTTGTCCACCCCACCATCCAGGCCTTGCCAAGCTTTTAAAAGTTGCTCCCCGCACAGACGGACGGGCTCTCAGCCACTCAAAAGCTGCTTCCAGGCCAGGGAAGGGAAAGAAAGAAAAAACAACAACTCCAAAAAGAGACGGACGTGGCTTTTACCTGGGCTTTAAAAGCCTCTCTCGGGCATCCAGGCTACCACGGCAGGACGCTGCCTCCATCAGAGAGGCTTCAATAATGCACGAAGGGGAAGAGGAATGGGGGCCAGTCGAGATGGTCCGTTAAGAGCTTCTCCTCTACAAAACAAATCTATCACCGGTGGACGTTGGGACAAAGAGGTTGTCAGCTTTGGAAGCCATGTTCCACGCTGCCACATAGCCTGAGAAAGTGGGAGTGATTTCAATTAAGGAGCTCTAAGTAGACACAATAAAATTCTTTTGTTAGTCCAAGGTCACGGAGTGTGGCGCAGAATGAAATAAGGGTCTTCCTTTTGGATGGACCGTGATTGGGCCATGTGACCGGAGGAACAGATCATCAGAGTTGGAAGGGACCTTGTAGGTCATCTAGTCCAACCCCCCCCACCCAAGCGGGAGACCCTACACACATTTCTGACCGATGGCAGCCCAATCTCTTCTTGGAAGTCTCAAGTGAGGATGGAATGGGATGATGGCCAAGGGAGCAGGGATTTGTAGTTTGGGAAATTGTGGAAAGCTTTTTAGATTCGGGATTCCACAGATGTGCCAGGTGCTGTTCTAATAAAGGTACTTTTGAGGTATGTTGGTCTCGGAGCTGCTGATTGGAAGGGAGGGTTGCTGGGGCGCTGGCCGGGTTCGGAAAACTCGCCGGGGCTTGCCAAACGTCCGCTGGACTCTGAGAACGATGATTGCTCAGGATCAATCAATGCAGGTCGTTCTCGACCTGAGGCTGAAATGGATGTCGCCGAGCAAGAAATGTGCGAGTTTTGGTCCCACAAAACGATTTTTTTCTTTCCTTCCCACATTTCTTAAGGGAATCGCTGCAGTTGTTCCTGCTAGTCGGGTGGTTGTGTTAATGTGGCTTCCCCGCTGACGCTGTTCAAAGTTAACAACTTTGAAAAAAAAAAGGGGAGGAGTTTGGGCTGGTTTTTCACACGTTGGGGGCCATTGTGGCATCCCCACGGTCAAAATTCAGGCACTTGGCAACTGACTCGTGTTTATTTATTTATATATTTATATAGAGACATTCTATAGCAACTGTGGTCACAAGTCGAGGATTACCTGCAGTGGTTCACATATGGCAAAGACGTTGACTGCGAGTCCGTGGCAAGAAAGTCCGTGGCATCCCCTTTTGACCAGGATGGGTCAGTGGGCCTCGACCGGCAAGGACAAGCCAAGCAAGATGGGCATCGGAACACAGGCACGGTGCCTCTGGCTATTGCCCACAGACCAATTTATTGGCATTTCCAAAGACTGAACACGGCACGGAGTGAGGGACACATAAGGAGGGGAGGAAGAACCGCAGAGGGACGATCTACGGGTCTCGTTCCAGTTTTGTGGCCCAGCTGCCCCCCCCCCCCCGGGGGACTGGACTCCTCTGCTCAGAGGCCTCATTTAAACGTGCTGATCAGGGGGACCCCCCGGGCGGGGAATTCCAGGTGAAGCTGCCGGAAGAGCATGGCGCACTGGTTCCTCTCTTGGGTCTTACCCAGGCTGTGGAAGAGCCTGGCTTGGAGATACAGGACGTCCCGCAGCTGTTCTTTGCAATCCACTTT